TAAACAAAAAAGCCTGCTGTGAAAACTGGCTTAATACATACTTTTTGAGGCTTTTCATCATACAATACGTGCGGAGATCACCTCAGCAAACACGCGGCGCAACACCAAAGCAAGCCAAGGAGATCACGGTGACGGCAGCAATCGTTTGATACCGGCCTTCTGCTCCGAGGTGAGCCTCGTCGGGAACTTGATGTCGAACTTGATTCTCAGGTTTCCCTTCCTTGATGGATCCTTCGGCAGCGGCATGCCCTCCTTGGGCACAACCTCCTCGTAGCCGGGACGGATCACGGAGTCGACGGGCACGATGAGGCTTCTGCCGTCAAGCGTTGTCAGGTGGGCGGTGTAGCCGGTGAGGGCTTCGGCGAGGGATATCTTCTTCGTGGTGACCAGGTCGTTGCCTTCCCTGGTGAACACGGGATGCGGCTTCTCGTCTATGATGAAGACGACGTCGGCGGGGATGACGTTGGGCCGTTCGTTCCCCTTCTCCTCGAATGTGATCTTGGTGCCCTTCTTCCAACCGGGCTTTATATCGATGGTCAGGATCTCCTCCACCGGCATCGTTTTCCTGAAACGCGGATGATCGAGTCAGTGATCTCATTGTTTACGAGAGAAGAGAAGACGGACGAGGAGGAGTTCTGCAATGAGAAGCAAGGAAAGGAGATTTACCCGCTCATGTCAGCGATTTCCCTGGAGATCTTCATCCTCTTGGTGGTGCCTTTGTATAGCTCCTCCAGGCTGCAGGGCAGCAGGTTCTCGATCGGCGCCGCCTTCTGCGGCCGGCGCGAGTTCATCGGCCCCTCGACACCGCCGCCGAAGGCCGACCCGAACAAGTCGTCGCCAAAAACCCCGGAAGAGAACCGGGTCCCTCCTCTCACGCCGCCGTTGCTTCTCGCGCCTCCCATGTCCCCAAGCGGGCTCGAGAAGCCGAAGAACTCCGCGAATATGTCGTCGGCATTCCGCGGATTGAACCGGAACACCGTGGGACCGTCGCCGCCGCCGGAGAAGAAGGTGGCGCCCCCGTTGGCCTCGGGAGGTGGGACTTGCCCCTTCAGCCCTTCCTCTCCGTACTGGTCGTAGATGGCGCGCTTCTGCGGATCGCTTAATACCTGTTAAGGACAAAAGAGAGAACTCCTTAAAGATCCATCTTCAGCGGACAAATCGATTAATCTACAGACATATCAAAAACAATCCATGACGATTTATGATGGATTTGGTTACAAACAATCGAATGAACGACGAGGACCGATTAAAACCTACAATTTAGAAAGGGAATCGATATCGATGTTTCCGAGTGCATGCGAGAAGAATTGGGGGAGGAGAAAAGGAAAGGGAGAGAGGAATACCTCGTAGGCCTCGGAGATCTGCTTGAACTTGGCCTCGGCTTCGTTCTTGTTGTTGGGATTCTTGTCCGGGTGCCACTTCATGGCCAGCTTCCGATAGGCCTTCTTGAGATCGTCGTCCTTGGCGCTCTTGTCCACCCCCAGGATCTTGTAGTAGTCCGCTCCCATCTCCGTTACCCTCCCCTCTCCCCACTCCTCTCACCTCACTCTTCTTTCCTCTCACTCACTCTTCTTGTTCTTCGCTGCAGCTACCGAAGCTTTCCTTTGAGACGTTCTTTTCCGGCGCCGATGGGTTTATATGTGAGAGAGAACGGAACGAAGAAGAAGATGAGAGGAGGTCGTCGAAGCATCGGGAAGCGAGAAAAAGGACCGAAGATTGCAGAAGGTTCCAG